CAGCCAGCGAAAAATAAGTAGAAGCTGCCTGTCTTGACTGCACGTTAAAGGAAGGAAGGCTGGTGTGGTGATGGAGCATGTGTCGGCTGACCGCCGGAGCTCCGTTCAGGAAGATCAACTCCGTGGTTCAAATCTCATCTCTAACTTGCATCAGAAAAACTCTTCTGCCGGTGCTTGCCTACCTAAAGCAACTGTCCCTGAGAGATGACAGTAGATTTAATCATTGGTCATATGGCCTCCTAAGATAGCTTGGCCCATATCCTACTAAGCATGGAGATGTTTGCACAACATTGGACAATATGGTAATTAGTTTATGGAGTCCACCCCAAAAGTGGGGTTGATTGAGTCAACCAGGGTAAGGTAACCGGTGGGGGTTGTATGCTGTGGTTTCTGTGTTTTAATCCTTGTGTACCACTCAGAGTCACCAATGTGAGATGGATAAGCATGTCATATGAACACAGCCAGTGTTTCTTTGCTGATGTGGAAGAGGAGAAGGAAGAGGCAGTAAATTCAGTAACAGTTTGTGAAGCAGATTAGTTGCTGAAACTTGCACTAGAAATGAGAAAATAAAGCTCACATGGCAGGGACTGTTTCTGCTTTTAAGATACCCATTTCTGTTAACATGGTTCCAGTATCATTTGGTGGCCACTCCAAATGATGTGCTCATCTCTCAGCTTTGGGGACACTATGTGTCAGTTAACTGTTAACAACAATCGTACCTATGAAAGAGTGGTTATAAAAACGACTGAAATAGTTGATTTCATTCTAAATCAACTTTTGAATACTTGAAATCAACCTGAGAAGTAATTCTTAAGATCATTTTTTAAAAGGGTTTACCCATAAGTGACTAATTATAAGACCACTTTGTCCAGCTTTTAAACTTACAGCTGCTCTTTGGATTCTAACATTTCAGCCCAGTATTTTGGTTACAGCAGCATCACTGCTAATACCTTCCAGTAATGTTTTTCCACTAGGAATGCTGTCATGCAACATTGCCTGGCACACTTATACAAGCCATATGTCAGAGAACCTGTTTTGTAGCAGGTGATCCTAGCATCACTCTGTAGGATCACTAGCCAAACAGAGACTAAACTAAGTAGCTGATGACTATGATTCTGCTTGAAACAATGGAAAGTCACTAGCAGGTGGAATAGGCAATATCCGGTTCACTAGAGTGTTGTGGCTGAAATGAGGTAAGACTTTACTTTCAGAACACTTCCACCTGACCATGCAAACATGACAGGCCAGGTTGAATCCCCCACTTTACATAATCCTGTCAGATCCAAAGGAATTATTCTTGCCCCTAAACAAATCCCTCCCCTATGTGGTAGCAATGGAGGCAAATATGAAGAACCAAGCTCAGAGAACCCCAAGGACTCCACAAATCCCTCCCCCCTAATCCTTTCCTTGCTGAAAAGAAGGAAGTATTACTCACCCTTAACAAAGGCAGAATGCAATTGACTAGAGGCAGTGAAGATCCAGCCCCCAGCCATTGACTAAGACAAATCCAGTAAGGAAATTGCAACAAAGTGGATGAGAGCCACCTAATCCCATCAATGTTTATCTGCTTGCTAACAAGAGACAATGGCTATTTCTACCCCACTGCCACCTCTAAAAAGCATAATATGTCTTAACAATAAAACAGCTCTCTTACACAATCAACTTTACTCAGTTTTCCTTCTATGGTTCCAAGATCTGGCAGTAAATCAGAACCCTAGAATTCCTGTGCCACAATCCTTATGAAAGATCTTCCTTTCTATTGTTCTCTGTTCCTCTTCCTTTGCAGGTAGTCTTTGGTTAACAACCACTCCTTCAGCGACCATTCAAAGTTATGACAGCACTGAACAAGTGGTACTTATGATCGGTCCTCGAAGTTTCGGCCATCCCAGCACCCCCATGGTCACATGATTGCAATCTGGGTGCTTGGCAACTGGTTCACATTTACGACAGTTGCAGTGTCCCCATAGTCACGTGATTGCCATTTGCAACCTTCCCTGCCGGCTTCCCACAAGCCAAGTCAATGGAGAAGCTGGCAGGGAAGGTTGCAAGTTGCTCTGGTAAGTCTCCCCACCCAGCAGCAGCCACCCTCAGCCCTGCTGCACTTGTGCTGCACCTCACTGGCCCTTTACGCACCCTTGTGCACTCTCCTCTACCTGGCAGCAGTCACCCCCAGCTCTTCCGTGCTTGCCCCATGCCTGGCTGACCACCCATGAACCCTAACGCACCCTCCCCACCTGGCAGCAGCCACCCTCAGCCCTGCTGCACTTGTGCTGCACCTCACTGCCCTCTACACACCCTTGTGCACCCTTCCCCACCTGGAAGCAGCCACCCCCAGCCCCGCTGTGCTCGTGCCATGCCTCACCGGCCACTCGCACACACTCACACACCCTCCCCCACTTGGCAGCAGCTACCTCCAGCCCTACTGCACTTGTGCCATGCTCACACTGCACTGTGCCACACCAGCCACCCACATACCATCATGTACCCTCTCCCACCCAACAACAGCCACCCACAACTGCACCACACCTGTGCCATGCCTCGCCAACCACCCACAAACCCTCACACACCCTCCTCCACCCAGCAGCAGCCACTAGTCTGCTTGTGAGCCACCTGGGACTTGTAACTTCCTGCCAGCTTCCCCACTGACTTTTGTTTGTTGGAAGCCAGCAGGAAGTTGTGAGGTGGTCCTTGCTTAATGACCCACAATCCTCACTTAATGATGGCAGTGGAGACTGCTGGGATTTCTGTCGCTAAGTGATGCAGTCACATGATATTGTGCTTTACAACCGCATCACTTAGTCCCAATTATCATCATTAACCGAGGACTACCTATTAAAGTTGGAACTCAATGATCTTTGTTTCAATAAAGTGTGATCTTCCTCCTCAGAGTTGCGCTCCATCTTTCGCATCCAGGACAGGTCAAATAAGTATGACCTGTCTCTCTTTCTCTCTTTGAATTTTTGTAAGAATAAAATGACTCCTGAGTTTCTTGGGCAAACAACTAAAGAAATAACCATGGACATGTTTTATGAAAGAAAGGATACACATATTAAGGAACAGAGGAAATTATCATAGGTTTTGGAGGAAATGGGTCACATACAGTACAGCCACAAATTGTATGTAGCCATACAGTACATTGTTGGTTAGTTGATTATCTTCTTGAGGGCTATAAGATGCATGAATCAATATAACTGGAAAAAAACTCCAACAGATTCAATCTGAGGCTGCATCAAGAGAAGTATAGTGCCAGTTCAAGACAATCCATCATTCTTTCTATCCTGCAATGGTCAGACTATGTCTAGAACATTGCAAACCTTTCTGGGCATTGAATTTTAGGAAGGACATTGAGAACTTGGAGTGTAAGAGGATTTTCTTACACTGGAAATCTTTAAGCAGACTGGATGAGCTTCTGTTGGGGATACTCTAGTAGTAGATCCCTGCTGTGGGCAGAAGGTTGGACTTGACGATATCTAAACTTCCTTCCAACTTTTACATTCTGTGACATAAATGTTCTAAATAAATGAATAAGACTTTCCAAAGAATACTGTTGTGGATTCATGTATTTATTTTGAGGCCGTTATTTAGCAAAAGTCGGTTTGTTAGTGGGTGACAAAGTGAGTTAATATTGAGTGAAAATGCAAGCTCAGTTCCACCTACAGTAGGATGATGTTATGGAGTAGATCAATGGTTGGTAACTTCTGAGTTTCATGGAACTCTCAGCTCTGTTTCTGTAGCCCTCAGAATCCCCTCAGAAATTTGGCAGTACAATTTTTATGGTTTTATGAATGTATTCATGGACTATAGTTTGCATATAGACTTCTGCCACTTCCGAAGTGTGGGTTTCTTTTAACAAGGTTTTGAAACAATAGATTCTGTCTGGTCAGAGAGGTACCGCTTTAGAATTCTTGCTAATCTTTTCTACATTCTTATTTATTTGACTGCTAATTCATATCATCAACAAATAAAAATGAACATTTAAATCAGAACAATATCAGAAATAACCATAAAGAGCAAAGATAAAACTCCACATACAATCACAAATAATTTTTATTGTCAATTCTTGATGCCTTACCAAAATAGATTTGAAGGGACTTTATGCAACAAAGAGCTGACTCATTGACCTCAATCTCAAGTCCTCTTTCCCTCCTTTTTTATCATTTTAGGACCTCCTGTCATATCTGATACATGAATTTTGTATAGTATGGAAGGGCTACTTTTCTTTTTTGGTCAAGTGGATATAGCCAATTCTTCAAAGCTTCTTAATGATCATATAACTTTTTTATACCTGTGTACAAAAAAAGAGAGAATGATTTGCCTCATACTGAACTGAGTACCCTAAACTGTTCTTAGGATTAGGAGTAAAATAAAAATAGATGTTTTAAGGAAAACTAATAATTTACTGCCTGAGTATCTCTAAGACCGCCTGCTCCAGAGTGAATCTGCCCATCACATAAGATCTAGAAGAAACCCTGCTGGGGTTCCCATCTATGAAGGAATCCCATCTACAGGGACCCCAGAGCAGGGCCTTCTCAGTGAGGGCACTCTTTCTATGGAATAGCTGGTCCCTGTATATAAGAACAGCTTCTTCCTTACTGAGTTTTGGAAAAGAGATGAAAACGTGGCTCTGGAATTAAACTTTTGAGGGCTGTTAGGTTTTCTTTCATGATCTACCTCTGTTGGTTAGGGCTATTGTAATATATATTAATTTTTAATTTTTTAATGATTTTACTGTATTTCTGTTGTATGCCACTCAGAGCTATTTTGGGGTAGAATAGCAAAGGAATGCCAATAATAGACAGTAGTGTTTTACCAAGCAATAAAAAAGATGTTGTCATGACTTAAACTCTGTTTAAATCTTATAGAAGAGAG